CAAAAGGCTAACGACGACGAACCAAGTGGGAAGAAGAGGAGGAAAGGCAACACAGCCAGTGAGGACAGCGACCCCTCAGGGATACAGATTCAACAGACCACATTGACGGGGTCTGATCCTGGTCCGGAAACAGACCAGGATCATACCCAGAGAGGAATGGACATCTCCCCCACAAAAGAAGAGAGCAGCGAGAATTCAAAAGGAAAGGGGGACTCCCCCCTCCCATGGCTAAAAGAATACCTCAAAAAGGCCAAAAAAGAGAGGGAAAAGGAGTTTGACATCGGGGTGGCATGCATGAAACACCAGGAGAAGACAGGTAGAAACAGCATGTCATCGGTAGCAGGCATACAAACGTCAAAGAATATGTATGAAATCCTGAGACAACAAAGATACACAGTCCCACAAGGACCCGATCAGTGACATGGTACCCGAAAAATGGAAGCCTTCAAAGGGTAGAGAGAAGAGGAGCAGAAAAGCCCAGGCTGACACATCTGAGAAGGAAAACGAGCAACGATCCATCGAGCGTCAGATTGCCATCGTCGCAGCTCAGACAAACTGCCTGTTCGACCAGAACGAAGAGTACCGCCGAAAACTGCAAAGATTACTGCACAATCCAAAACATCGCAGAGGGCAGGGCTCACTGAGAAAGCAACTTCGGACCGTAAGACCATCAAAGCCATCAGACCCCTTGTCCCAGTCCTTACCACGCGATATTTGGCTACCTAGGAAGAAGAATCCGGAATCAATATGTGATATCTTAATTTCTTTGTTTAGCTCTAGTCCGAGCGTACTTAGAAAGGTCGATATAAGATCACGTATCTCAATTGCATCAGGAAGAGGGCCGGTAATGCCTATCACAAAGTCATCTGCGTATCGCTAAGATGTTGAAAGTTCGCGTCTGCCACTTTGTGCTTGTCGTATTGCTCCTTTAGGGTCTCATATATGTATTTGTCCAATTGATGTAACGTAATGTTACATAGTAGAGGCGTTCGCAAGAACGCAAGTGCATATCCAACACTTAGGGAGATACAGGAGGAAATTCGGTGAATGGCAGGTAGCCACCGATGTGTCATTCACTATCCCTACACTAGGAGATAAACGATAATGGTTTGCGATAGTCACAGTAATGGCATTCAAGCCTCTATAACTGATACAAAGTCTTTATTCACCTTCTTTCTTTGGCACAAATAGAACCAGTGCACCGTATGAAGATGAACTAGGCTTTATCCACCCCTTGTCAACTAATTTGTCTAACTGTTTGCGCAGCTCCTCTTAACTCTTTTGGAGACATCCTACAGATCGAGCCTTTCGGAGTCTTACTCTCAGGTTCTATTTGTATATGATGTTTGATATCTTGTTCCACTAGTCCTCTAGATGCTTCCTTTGATCTGACCGGTGCTCATGTTGTTGTTGATCAGTCGCTCACTCCAAATCATGATTGCCTGTGGAACATTGAGGGCTCAATCCAATTAGACTTTCCTGGAGGATTTCTTCAGAACTGGTATATCCTGAATACTAGCAGTTCACAGCAGAGCTAGTCCACGAGGGGTGTTTAATGGGGAAGGCAGGGTTCTCAGCATCATCACAAGTCCCCACCATGTACGGAGAGGAAACATATGGTGGGGATTGCAGCTGTCAGAAAATGCTCTCGGTCACTCCGTGTGTGTAAAATGCCGGAGATTTACAAGAAAAGGTTCTCAACCTGGAAAATATCAGGGCACCTGGGATTTGCAAGAAAGGGCTCTCGGCCCAGAAACAGCTCGGCGCAGAAACAGCCCGAGGGACTGACACTCAGAATGTATCCATTGGTCCAGCTTTCAGGCCCGGCACGTTGGATCAGCAGTTGGGATGCAGTTCCCCAAAAGTTGGCCTTCACTGCTAGTGGCCACAATGGGTAGCTAGTCCTGTGGGCAAATGACTTCGGAACATTGCCTGGTTTCCTGGAAACGAAAAGATACCCGCCCCTCCTTGCATTTTGTGTGCGGCCTCGTCCAGCTTGTTGCCAGATCCTAATGTTGTCATGGAGCCAGACTACCTCCAGTGCAGAACAGTCAGAGGTCTGCTGGATGTCTAGCCAGGTAGCGTCCATCTCTTTAACTGGTCATTTCACTGTAACAATCGCTATGTTTCGTGCAACAACTCGAGCATCCAATCCTGGAAGTGTAGCACAGTTTGTGGCACCATTTGCACTGGTGAAATTTTGTTGCTCTTGTACAGTAGGTCAGTGAATTCTGATGCACATTGCCCGTGAATGATTGATGCAGATCTTCTCAATTAGTCCTGCAGAGACGATATACCTTTACAATGAGCTCTTCTGTGATGGTAAGCTGTCATCGTTTTGCTTATTCCCGCTCATTGTAGGCTGGATGTTTATTGTTTTCTTGCGGGGAAGGGGCCGGGAGATATAGCCTGCCTGGAGCCTTCTACATGGGCCTAAGGAGCCGGCACTTGCTTTTGACTTCAGGCAGGTGTGTGAGTATGTTGTCTGTTCTGAGTCCAGGTGTGTGTGTGTGTGTGTGTGTCTGTTCTCAGTGCAGTTTCTGTTGCTTTTGACTTTAGGCAGCTGTGTGAGTGTCTTGTCTCTTCTCATGTTCTCAGTCCAGTTATTCAGATTGCTTGGATGTCAATGTCTGCATATTGTGTTGTTGTCAGTACAGTTTTCTTTGACAACACTTGTCCTGGTCTGGATGAGTTCCCAGGACTTTGGCTCATCCAGACCTCGGCACATGCTTGATGGCCCAGCTTGTTTTGAGGCGGGGCCTGTCTCCAACGTTTTGTCCCAGGATGAACTTAGGGGGGACCCAGTCCACACGTTTTCAGGCCTGGGCCTGAGTTTGGCCACACGGCCTCACATCTGGTCCGCCACATCTCAGTGAGTCACTGAGTCCGAGCGACGCAGATGGAGGCCGAGTCTGGCCGACCTTTGGTGGTGGGCCGCTCCAGTAGCATGTAGGAGAGGCAGACCCAGTAGTTGGCGGGGAGTTTGGAGAGATCATTAATTGCCAAGAGGTTGCCGAGTTGAGAAGCCCAGTGCTAGTGGACATAGAGGAGCAGTATTAGAGGAGCTAGAGGTTAGAGGAAAGAGGAGGAAATGGAGGCGTCCACTCACCTGGCGTCGTATCCTGGGGGTCTGCCGCCAGCCATAGCTGGTCTTCTTCTCCTTCGAGTTACCTGCAGTGCATCAGTGGCTCAAAGGCTCTGCCTTCCATTGGTCAGTATCATTTACGATAGATAGATAGATAGATAGATAGATAGATAGATGGAGAGAGAGAGAGAGAGAGAGAGAGAGAGAGAGAGAGAGAGAGAGAGAGAGAGAGAGAG